CTCACTGTAGCATTTTGTCCATAGGCATGGAGGCGGATACGCAGATACCTGGCCACGATCTGTTTCACCATTATCACAGCATGACACTCATCCGCTCGCGGCTCGAACATGTGGTCTTGCACACCGGGGAACAGTTCGTGGGAACAGCACGTTTGTTAATACTGCTTTTTGACTTCCACTTCTCTAAGACGGCCCTAAACAAAACCATTCATAGATATGATTCAGAATATATTACCTGGTGTACAACTTCAAACAAACACCAATGTCTGCAGTCTGCACCACGGGCGTGGAGAGGGGTTAGGATAACCGAACATACATCTTGCTCCTGACCGAACCCGCGTATTCAATGCACTGGCTGAAACAGCAGCTGCTGAGAAACCATAAACCCGTGACGCGTGTTGGCGGAGGTCGCACACCAGCCCCAGCCGCAGATGTTCCCGGCTGTGCGGTGCTGGCCCCACTCTGCTCTGCGCGCGTGCCCGGGCGCTGCTGCACTAGCCCCTGCCAGGATGGTTGACCTGCGGCGGTGCCGTCTCCGTTCTGCGGGCTGCACATCTTAAACGTTCCTGCCGTCGTGCTGCTGAACCAGAAGGCAGTGACACAGTACGTGCTGCTTGTAGGAGCGCCGAGCGCTGGTCCAGCGGCGCGCTGCTCGGTCTCTCCTCTCAAAAGACTGTCCTGCATCTGCGCAGCGGGAGGACGCAATGATGCGGCGGCGGCCGCCGTACTGGGACCTGCTGCTACGACCACCTCCGACAGACACATTTAATGGAAGATGGAAGATGTGATGTGATGTGATGGAAGCACAACAGTCACGAAATTGCTTAAAAGTGAAACAATGCATGCTGTATTCATGCATACATTTACAATTTGCAATTGGCCCAATTTCGGCATTAATATAAATATGAACTTGACTGATTGTAAAGTAGCTTCAGGTTGAAACGGAGTATAGCAGCTCTGAGGATGTGACCAGTTGATAATTACCTGCCTACCTTCAGAGCAGATCTTTCTTAGAGTTGACGGTGGGGAGAAGATGTCGGTGCATGAGCTTGGCCGTGGCGAGGCCATGCCGCGCCTCTTCTCCCATCACCACCGAACATGCCTCAGTGACGGTGCGCGCGGCTCTCTCCACCGCCTGGGTATGAACCGGATAAGGCGGGATGGACAATGGAGCATGCACTATGCTTCGCAGCTCGCCGTCGCTGAGGTTTCGTAGGAGTGGGGATTGCGTGACTGGTTCGCGCCAGGAAATCAGCTCCGTGCAGCTCACGGCCTCGAAGTTGATCGTTGGGATGGCGAAGATTCTGGGCCCCTCGGTTTGCTGCTCACGCGCGGCGCTGATGATTTGGACCGCCTATTTGCGGACCACACGGTCCTCGTCCGCCACCATGGCCAGCAGCAGCTGTTCCGGATGGGCCCAGTACCCGTTGCGGTGGATGACTGGCTGCACCGTGGTCCGTGTGCGCTGCGGCAGCTCGCGGAGCAACGTGATGCTTCGGAACAGATTGCGTGAGCCTACGTCACAGCTGCTGTTCTGTCGAATGAAGAACCACATCGGCACATAATGGCCAACCACGTACTGGACAAGGTCCTTGAGAGCCCTGCTGGGATTCTCGGTGGAGATGTAAGCTCTGAACAGGCGAACGGCCAGTGTTAACCATCTGAAAACAACATCAAGAACAGTTAAAACATTTCGTCCCGAACTGAGCACTAGGTCACACGAAAATTATTTCAATTTCAACGCAACGGCAACACTTATCCGCAGGTATACTCGTAAGCATGAACCAACGAGTAAATGACACGACATACTATGGCACAACGCACGGTGATGAGTAAGTGCTTCACGGTGAGTACATGAAGTGCCAAATGATGCGTAAGAAAGTTTCAGCATTCATTGCTACGAATTCGAAGATAGGACAGTACTTATAGCATTGGTTTTGTTTAGCGACTGTACTAATAACGTAGTTTGGTTTACGTAAAGATGTATCACCGAAATATCAGCATATCTATTTCTCCATTTTCTTTGATATTCTACGTAGAAGAAGGCTATATTATAATACTATCTTATCAATATGCATTGTATTTCCCGCCAATGCAGTTAAAAACGTCCGGAATTAGAAGACACCGTGCTTTCATATTTACCTAGCATGGTTCAGTGGTCCGATTCGCCGCCGAGCTGTCGCGGTCCGGATGGAGCCGTTTTGTACGCCTGAGGCCAGCAGATACAGCAGCTGCTGGTCAGTGCTCAGCTGCTGGACCAGGTCGACCGGTAGGTTTGGCACATGCCCTGGCACAGGCTTGAATGTCACAACGTCCCTTCTCCAGACCTCCCCGGCGCAGATCTTGCCGATGGGTCCAGAAAAAAGATTTCGGTCCCGCAGTCGTGCCGTCTAGGCTCAGCAGCAGGTGACGTAAATTCAGCTCATTGCCGTGCAGCTGGCAGATGAACCAGTGCACGGGTGACTCAGTGACCAGCTCAAACAGCCGGCACACTCCACCTGTCGTCCCTGTGATGACGGCCGTGCCGTCGCAGCCGAGGACCTTGACGTGACCCTCGAACTGCTGGCTCACGGAGTGAAGCCCGTTGGGTAAGCGCAGGGCGCGGCCGGACTCGGGCGTGAAAAGAGTCACGTAGCGGCTGCCTGGCTCAGCCACGACAACCACGTGTTCTTCGACGGCATTCGCATGGCTAAGTGTCATGCAGGTCCTGTCTTTGCGGTCATCGAAGTAGAGGGTAGTCAAACCTGACTTGTAGATTGATTCCGCATTTTGACGCGCCGTCTCTTTTCTCGCTGTCCCTTGCGCGCCAGATCTTATTAGGATCTACATCTGAAGCAGTCAGTCCGCCTCTGCTGTCATGTTGGAAGACCTTGATGATGGCAGCAGCCGCCCGCTTCGAGACACTGTAGCGGTCAACCGCAAGAGCTGTGGTGGTGAGATCGTTAAAGTTACGATCTGCACTGAAAACAGCGTCATCCGGAGCAAAGAAATCGGCGGCGTCGCCACTTTCCACCGTGCGCGAAGCCGTGCCAGATTCCGCACTCTCGGCTGACTCGCTAGCGCTGAGACCACGCGATCCCAGAGCAGGCTCGAATTCAGCACTAGCAGCCAGCGCTGGCTCAGCAGGCAGCATGGGCTCAGCAGCCAGTGGGGGAGGCGACTCAGGTTTAGCAGCAGACACCGCCCTACAGGCGGTTGAGCTAGGACGCTCCTGGGGTTGTCTGGCCATCCTCCGGATCTCGCGAGCCTCACTAGCCACAGTCGTAGCCCGGTCATACGTTCCCAGGAAAAGCCTCCGGTGCATGCGTTGGTCTTTAAAGAAAGCAACCTCTTCTTCCGGCACTCTGTAGGCAGCTGGACATTTGCAGCTGTGCAGGGACTCGCACTTACATTTTACGATGTCGAGAAGCCTGCTGAACTTCGCGGTAGCGACGTTGTTCTGTCCTTCTCTTTCCTTTTTTGGTATTTTGCTGAAAGCTTTGTATGGTTCATAGCAATCCCTCTTGATAACTTTTGTGACGTATTTTTTGTCATGAAAAGGGTTCCCTTCGTTCGTCCACAGCTCACTGATTTCCCCCGCCACGATCTTGAAGACGGTCTTGGTGGGATTCTTATTTGGTTCGCTTAGCCATCTGATGTAAACTAAGGCTTCCCCCTTAATCGGCAGTCGTTGGTGGGACAGGGGTGCCGGGTGACCTATCACAAAATGTTTTGCACGTGACCGCGTGAACTGCGGCATGCCTATTCAAGTATTTACTCGAAAGGAACGGTTGAATACCGGCAAACCAAACTTATACATTCTTATAGCCCATACGACAACCACATAAGCTGCAAATCAATATCACAATGATGTATAAACAATTGCGACCTATAACTTTCTGTTGTCTGCTGGAACATTTTGATAGCTGCACATTTTGGTATATCACAAATTAATAACGTTTTTCATAAAAAGTGAACTTATTTTCTGTTAAGAATTTTGTTAAATTAATATCCTTCTTGATACACGCTTCATACTTAACTGACGGTCACTTAAAACCGAGTTAGAAACATTTAATCCATCAGGTGGTGGTAGCAGGGAAAAGCAAAGGGGCTTGTCCATAGATGACACCACCATTTATAATAAGTGGCGCTAGTATCGAAGACGATTTTCTTAGCCCAGATCGGAAGAGCTCCTCTCGACTGACAAACGCCAATATCGGTATAGCGTAACAGGCCTGGAAATGTATTAATCATTCATGTGCCAAGGAAAAACTTTGTCTCGGTTCATTGCAAAAAATTAACCCCCTCGATGACACACCCTAATGAGCAGCCCACCGTTGTCCCGCACTTTTACGAGACCCATCACTTCATGCGACGGAGTGCCGTTCTCGTTGCACAAAAGTGCACCAACGCACTCACTACACCCGATCGCGCTCGTTTCCAGTAGCTTGCGGAACATATAGCCGGAGATATAGCCAACACAGTTGTCAGCGAACCCCGAACCGGTGTCCTCCGTCGGTAACCGCCGGCATGGGGTCAGTCCCGCTGAGCGCCGGCCGCTGCCGTCTTGGACGACGGATCTGGAGCAGGCCGTCGTCACCGTCATCCCGCGACGTGCAGCTCCCGTTGGCAGATGGCGATATGAAGTTGTGCAGTATGAGTCTGCGCATGGCATGCTGCAGTTGGGCCACGTTCGGGTTGTTGTTGAAGCCGCCCATACGTCGGATCCGGCCGAACAGCAGCTCTAGATGGTCTTGGGACATCTCGTATGACAGTACATAGACGAACCCCTCCTCCAGCAGGGCCTCACTGACGTCCATGACGGTCTGCGCCGCGGACAGAGACCCAGGATCGGGGTGAATGAGTTCTGAGTACTGACCCCGGGGCCAGCACTATTCCTTCCGCTGTTGACATGGGTTGCCTAGAAACGCATGTACGAAAAAAACACATGCTACCGGGCTGCTCTGTTTAATATTTATTTTGCACTAAACGTCGCCGCTTTTAGTACGAATCGGTACTAATCACCGTTTCCCCTCTTAGCAAGTATACGTACTAAATGCTCTCGCGGCCGTGTTGGTTTCCCGCATAAGTGGGCGTGGGAGGAAAGTCGCGCGGTCGTCCTGTATCTACGAAAATCGTGAACGAAACCCGTGATTCAGCCCCGACTTGGGCGGATGGAGAAGTCGGTAGGTGATTGATTCGTCAGAAAACAATAAAAGGTGAATGGGGGAATAAGAAGTTGGTATTGCCCGGTGTCCCGAGGCAGGAAGTACCCATGCGGGTTCATGCCGGGCGTCACCCAGTTTTGACCGAGGCTGGAGAGGAGCTGGAACCATTGAAACAGTCGTTTTCATTCCTACCAGGATAACATTGAAGAGTGTGGCACGGTTAGTGTGCCATTGATGTTTCCAGCTTCATTGGGACTAATGGTATATCTTAAATGCTGTGCCATTGAAAGATGCTTGTTAAATATGGGATGTTTTGCAACCATACAGCAAAACCAGATACACTTAAAGACCTGTGCCAAATAGTACCTACTATCTTTATAAGTGCAAATATCCTGAGAACATCACTATGGCAGAGCAGTTTTTGTAACTTGATAAATGGCAGAGATGTGTCACACCATGATGTGAGACCTCAACTGTTTTAACTCACCTTTGGTAGCCAATGGCCAGGTGTAGATTAACAAGCCTCATTTGCATGTTTTATGGGACATATTCCTTGAAGATTGTTTGATCTGTGTCTGTGCCAAAATGATCAGTGGTTGACATTTACAACTGAGGCTCTGGGTCAGTATGGTAAAGCAGGGAGGAAAGCATGTAGCATATGCAGGCTTTTTTCTTTTCATTCTATCTGCAAAAATGAAAGCAACACATGGGCTTTCTTCTCTTAACCCAGTCTGTAAAAATCAAGCTGCTGCCCAGGATGACAGGCCATGCCAATGACAGCTGACTTCAAACTGTTGTTCAGGAAAAATGTTTTTGGAATGCACTGGCCTAAAAGCCCCATGATAATATGATATTCCATGAAACATTGGTTCTTTGTACACTGCAATGGATTGTGACTGTGCAACAGGCTGGGCACTAGGGCGCCAGGCACTGAGGAATTAAGCTTGGTTTGTGTGAACTTGAGTAGTTATATGTCAATACCCTGACTGCTGCCCCTAAGAACATCTTTATAACTGGCAGTGACATCAATCCATAGAGCATGGCACATGCTTGCTCACCTCTAAATTCATGGGAAATGATGATAAGTCCTGCCTCATAGCTTTCACTGTACACTTTGATATTGTGCAAAATTGCAATTAAGAGCTCACATTCCTTAGAAGTCACTGTGATATGAAATGAATGATGACCTTTTAGCAGACTTAGTGAATTTCTTTGCTCTGATTTACAGGTTCATTGATTAACCCATGCCCAGGTGGCCAGTTGGACACTCTTTGCTGTGGTGTGTGGGGGTTCAATTTGACCCCCTGAGATTTTAGGAACTAAGAAGGCTAGACACACTAAGTTCGCAGGGTGTGAGATTTGACTTGACTGCTTTGAGTTTTGCATTTGAATATGCAGCAAAGGTTGAGCTAGGCAGTATTTTCCTAAAAATTAAATGTTGACCTGGGTCATTTTAGGTAAGTGACCTTTTCTGACCTTTAAGAAGTCCCTGAAAGATGTCTTATGCAGTTCATGTCATCAGTAAATTCTAAACAAGCACAAGAAACTACCTTTAACAGCAAACCCCAGAGTCATAAAATGGGATGGTTTTGACCTAGGTCTCACCTTTATATCTGACCCTAGGTCAATGGAATTTGGTTATTCAATTGCTGTGTCGCCGAAGAAAGTGTGTCAGTGATGTGCGGCTTCATCTAACACTCTGTTGTTCCACCAGATTGAATGATTGCCTTGAAATTGACTGCTGAATCCATGGCCTGACTTTGACCTGCTGAAGGTCAGTGACCTTACAAGGTACATTCAATTTTTTGGTACCATGGATCGGCTATTCAATTGCCTACAGTTATGCAAAATTTGGTGTGACTATGCCACACCCTTGGGAAACCATTCTGGAAAACCTTTGGGGGGATCAATTTAACCCCTACCTGAGCACTTGTTAAATGCACTATCTGTTGTGCACCCACTGGCATAGCTATGCCATGCACTTTTCACTTTTCCATTTCTAACTTCCAGATGTAGTTGGTGTGGCATGTAAATTTTATGCTATTATCTCATGCCAAAGGAGCTTTCATTATGTGGCAAATTTATTTTAAGAGTTTGTGGTTGAGAAGTTGCTGTGTTTTGTTGTGCCTTACACTTGAAGGGTTTGAGGCATCACAGCCTTCAGATGGTGACTTCTAGCCATAGTCACATTGAGGCGGGATCAGGAATTATAGATGATAACACTGATCAGGACCAGGGCTCCTGCATCAGGCTGTGCGTGATACTCAAGCTTCCCTTGCACCTCCTCTGGAGTATTAACTTCATGTGTAAAGCCTTTTGTCTTTTCCAGCTTTGTGATCCTTCCTCTCTGCCAACTCCAATCAACTATGCCTTTCTTTGGTGTCCCATGCAGGGCCCAGATTAACCCATGAGGTAGGTTGGCAAACACTAAGAGCTGGCAAAAACTTGTCTTGGGAAGGTTGTTTTGGTTTATGAAACTACATATCTCATGCATGGCCCTTTCTCATGAGGTGAACAGATCTGCTGTCTGCAGAATGATGGTTGTTGGACATTGCTGAACAGACCCATACCTGAACAGACTCCTATCTGAGCTCCTCCAGAAACACCTTCAATGCTGTGTTGTAGATGTCTTGTAGACTATCTTGCAGGACATGCTACAAATCTCCAGCACTATTTGGTTGGTAAGCAGCTGCAAGCACTGTAGTTTGGACAGCCTGTGCCGCGGGGTCAACGCTCACACGACATGCTCTGCACTGCCAAAGCTGATTGCCAAAGCCAAGAACTGCTTTGTCCGGCGTTTGGTGTCTGTCGTCTGTTGCTTGCCCTCTTCTTATGCTGCGGGCTGTGGTCTAGCAGGCCATGGTTATGCAGCGCGGATATTACACGCATTCCAATGGCATGTGTATGTGTGTGTGCTGTCCTCAATGTCCAACGTGCCGTGCTCGCCTCTGCAGATGGCGTCGGAGGCGGCCTACGACCGACAGTGGCGGCTGCGCGCAGCGTTCTTCGGTGATGACGAGGCCGAGTTTACGCGCCTCCTGCGGCAAGACGGAGTCGACCTCAACTTCGTGTACGGTGAGCCGGCGTTTGAGCCGCTGCTGCTCAGCGCATGCCGCCGGCACGACTGGAAGCGAGTGCGGCGGCTGCGCGAGCTGGGTGCCGACCTGGAGGCACGCGACCTGTCCGGAGACCGGACGGCGCTGCTGTGGGCGGCCGAGCAGGCCGAGCTGCCGCTGCTGCAGCTGCTGCTGGGCGACCCAGCCGCCGGCGACGCAGCCGCCGAGGAGACCAGCTTCATCGCGCCGCCAGTCGACCTGAACGCTCGCAACACGGCCGACAGCACGGCACTGCACCTGCTGGTGGTGGCCGCCGGCCGGCCCGGTGCCGCCGACGCGGCACTGGCCGGCTTGCGCGCGCTGGCAGCCTCGCCGGCCGCCGACCTGGACGCGCGCGACGAGCGCGGCCGCAGCCCGCTGACGCTGGCCGTCGAGCTGGGCCTGTCGGAGGCGGCGCGTGCGCTGGCCGAGGCCGGCGCCGCCGTGCCGGAGGAGCTGTTGCCGCAGCTGGAGGCCGATCCGCGGCTCCGGCCGCTGGCGGCCCTCCGCGGCCGGCCAGCGCGCGCTCGTCCGGCCGGAGAGCTCCTCTGGGAGGCCGTACACCAGCTGCCGGCCGACGAGGAGCGCGTGCGCGCTGCGCTGGCGCAGCTGCCGGCGGCCGGCGCGGCACGAGGCGCGGCGCTGGACCGCGTGTTCGGCCGCTACACGTGCCTGCAGTGGGCGGCGCACCAGGGCCGCGCCGACCTGGCCAAGCTGCTGCTGGACGCCGGCGCCTCGCCGCTGGCCCGCAGCCCGCTCGGTCCGATGCTGCCGCTGCACTACGCGGCGGCGCGCGGCGAGCCCGGCCTGCTGGTGCTGCTGCTGGAGAGGATGCGGCCGCCGACCGAGCGGCTGGATCTGACGCCGCTGCGGGACGACGGACCGCGCGGCCTCGACGAGACCGCCCTGCACAAGGCGGCGCGCTGCGAGCCGGCGCCCGGCGTGCGCCAGGACTTCGACGAGTGCCTGCGCCTGCTTCTGGCCGAGCGGGCAGACGTGAACGCTGCCGCCGCGTCGGGGCAGACGGCACTACACCTGGCGCTGCGGGCCGGCTTCACGGCCGGCGCGCTGCGCCTGCTGGCGGCCGGCGGCTCGCTGGCGGCCCGGGACGAAGCTGGCACCATGCCGATGGACCTGATCCAGCCGGAGGCGCTGCAGACGGCGCTGGACGCTTGTGTGACGCCGGCGGTGCCGCACCAGCAGCTGATGGCCACCGACACTGAGATGCAGGTCAGGCCCAGCGACTGGCGCCGGCCGGCCGTCGCCGACCACGCCGCCAGCGCAGGATTGTACGTCCAACGGCCGAAGGGGTTTGTTGGGGAGAAGGTCCGGGGGAGAAGGCGCGAGGAGGGGCTCTTTGAGAGAGATCAGCACAGGGAATACGTGTTGCGTATGGCTGCCGCCCCGCGTTGGATATGGTGGGTAATGGGCCAGCAGTTGACCCCAGTTGCAACATTTTGTAAGTAGTAAACTCCATGCGTTGTCACAAAACATAATCTAGCGACTGATGATATACATGCTGAGCAAGCAAGACATATTTGCCTTGCTCTTGAAAGTAGCTTTTTCCGATACCAGGTGTTTGGTAGGTTTCTCGCACAGTGTTGTTTCCAAAAATTGCTGATAACCCTTGCGGAGGCCATTTATATTGCAGTTAGATTGTAGAGTACGAGTATCAAATTATGGGCCATGGATGGATTTCTGTTACCGTGTAGACGCAGAGTGTATGCCGCCTTTTGATTATTGTTACGTTATAGTCAGGGCTGTTCCAGGAGGACGGCCATGACCTTTCTATTACGGTGATGTGGGGTGTTCGTTCAATCTGTCTTCACGACTGGAAAGCATTCACGAAAGCTTGGCGAGGCTGCCCAAACGCCAACCTTCACGCAGCAAAAACATGTCTTGAAAATTCAAATTCAGTTATTGAAGCATCTGCTGTGCATACCACGCTATGCACCCCTGCTCATACACCATGCATCCCTGCGCCAAGGCAAGAGTTCATCGGTCCTCGCGCTTTTCACCCACTCCATGCTGAGGGAACACTAGCGGGTGCGGGGAACCGCGCGCGCGAAATGATCGCGCCATCTGTTGGGCAGGAAGCGTGGTTTCGTATGCGACAGCTATACCATGCGGCGGTGCTGTGTTTTGTTTGCTCCGTATTGTCGGGAAGCGTCCACCGCCCGTGTCTTTGTTGAGCTAAATTTTGACGTGTGATGACTCCTACATGGAGCCGCGGAAGACAGAGGAGAAAAAAAAACAGTGTTTGTGCTGTTCAGTACTTGAACTGGTGGCTAAAACACAGGCTAGTAAGGTTGTTCAGCTGACAACATGTAAGTCCAATGCTGACGTTAGCAATTTCCATGCGATACCGCCTGTTCAAGTCACGGAGAAACGGACACAGATCGGGAACATCACGTTCAAACTTAAGACTGCGAATTATTCTTCGTCACTCTCGGACCTGTACCTGGTTTCCAATACTGCTTCCTGTTTCCCGCGGTACTTTCGTGAAAAATGGGCAATAGATGTTGTTTCCCATCGGCTCTTGTGCAAGCGCCAATCCGTTGCCCTTAAGTGCCATTGGATCTTGCAAAAAGCAGACCCGGGGCCTGGTCTCACGCGGTGATTTTGCAACTGCCAGGTACGAGGTTTTGGCTTCCAACGGTCCTTTTGGAAGAGCTAGACCCTGTTAGTTTGTGGTTCACACTGGTTCTTTGATTTACACCGGGCCCCAGCGCCTAGTTTTCATTAGTTCTCTTGCAAGGACCCAAATCTTGTTCGTGACTCTAATCCGGTCCTCAGGCACCAGACGCCGGTTCCCGTTAGCCAGTGATTCACTCACAAAACGCTATGCTGTGTTCCAATTCGTCATGACTCCGTGCCAAACGCCAGACTAACACCAGTTATGATCGAAGCAAAATATATTCTGCATCAAAACTTGCACATCTATTCATCGTGCTCGACAATATGGGCGTAGGGAATTATAAGGTACATAGCTAAATTCGTGTCATGAGAACGAATGAAGTCCAGAGGCATGAACATTCTTATGTGAGGTTTGAAGCAGCCAGCCATGAAAATAGAAAACATTTTCGCTTCGCAGCAACGGTGACGGTCAAGTATGTATGATGACCTTCGCCGGGTCCTAGCATCGGGTCAACACTGGACACAGTAATGGAGAGGGCATGAGAGGGATGGTCGCAGGCGGGACATGACTGCCTGTTGCCATTTTCTCGGCCACCGTTTGGCCTCTAACTGTCTTTCCATTGATACACGGATTTCCCCATAGATGTCTGTACTTGTCTTCGTGTTCGTGTTCATCTCAGCGGTAATTCAAATTCAAGAAGCACGCGGTCTGCTCCCGATTTGTTTGACGTAGCGCACCTGGCGGTAAAGTATGATTCATTTAAACTACGAATGATTTTACCTGATTATCTGTATGATAACCAGGGGAGTTTGAATTAACTTGATGTGAATCGGGCGCAGGCGTAGCTTGCGTCATGACTGGTGGGAGCTGCTCTCAGTGCCCCAGTTCGGTCTCTGCTGACAGACGCCCTGCGCTTGCCCGCAGATCGACTTCACTTGCCTGGTGCCGCCGCAGCGACCGCAGAAGACGCCGGAGATGCCGGTGCTGATGCGCATGCGCGACAGCCCGCTGCTGCGGCCGCTGCTCCGCCATCCGGTGATTGTGGCTCTGCTGTACCTCAAGTACGACCGCGTGCGCTGGATTTACTACTTCAACGTGCTGCTGTTCCTGAGCTTCACCGTGCTGCTGACGCTGTTCGTGTTCGGACTGGACGGCCGCGCCGGTCTGGGCGAGTGGGCCAGCTCGGCGGGGGTGCGCATCGTGCTCACGGTCGGTCTGGCGCTGCTGGCGCTGCGCGAGCTGGTGCAGGTAACGCTCTCCGGGCCGCTGTACTTCCTCAGCCTGGAGAACCTGGTGGAGATGGGGGTGGTGGCGCTGGGCCTGCCGCTGCTGTGGGCCACGCTCAGTTCGGCCACCGCCCACCACCTGTCCGCCTGGGTCATGATCTTCACCTGGCTCGAGGTGGCGATGAGCATGGGCAGGCTACCCTCGCTGGCGCGCTACAAGACCATGATGGAGAGCATCGCGCTCAGCTTCGGCAAGCTTATCTTCCTCTACTTCGGTCTGGTGCTCGCCTTCGCCATCGCCTTCTACCTGGTTTTCAACGGCGTCGACAGCTTCGCCACGTTCGGCGTGTCCGTGCCGAAGGCGATCGCCATGGCCACTGGCGAATTTGACTACGGCGACCTGAGCGCCACTCTGCAGGTAGACGCTGCCCAGGGCATCGGCCCGTCGCACGTCGTCTCCTCGGTCTTGCTCTTCATCTGCTTCCTCTTCCTCATCTTCATCGTGCTGATGAACCTGCTCACTGCCCTGGCCGTGGACGACACCAAGGCCATCATGGATAACGCCGAGGTCATGGCGCAGGACAATCGCACTCTGTTGCTCAGCTACATCGAGGACTTTTTCCTGCTGACCTACCTGCCACGGCGGCTGAAGCGACCGGACGGTGCGCTGCGCGAGGCAGCCGACTCGTGCTGCAGCGGTCTGCGGCACCGGCTGCGCAGTCGCCTGCTGCTCTTCCATTCGGCGCTCAGCGCGTGCACGTACCCGTTCTTCCCCAACCGGCGGCCGGACGAGGTCACGTGCCGCGTGGTGGCGAACGCCATGCGCCAGCGCCAGTGCGGCCATGGCGCGCGCCTCTGCCTCCGTTGGCTGACGCTGGATGAGTGCGCGGCGGGCGACCGCAGGCGGGAGCTGTGCGAGCTGCCGGCCGAGGTCAGGCAGCAGCTGCTGAAGCTGGTCGTCAAGGAGCCCACGCTGCAGCAGCAGGTGGACAAGCTGCAGTCGGACGTCACCGTGCTGGCCTCGGCGCTCTTTGCGTATTTGGAGGCACAGAAGAGCTCGCCGTGAACGGTGGGGCGCCCGAGCCGCCTCCGGCGACGAAGGGCCAGCGTGTTGATGTTAGCCTGGGCTGATGTCAGCGTGCCAGCTGCCGCTTACCAGCCGGCGGCGCGCTGACATCAGCCCCGCCCAGCCCGCCGGGAAGCGAGCTGCTCCCGCTGGTGCCCCGCACCGCTTTACGGCAGACTCGTGCACCACCGTTTTGCTTGTGACTGGAAGATTAAGCTTGTTGATGGTATTTTTTATGCTTTTTGTGCTGCGTTTTAAGCATGCGAAGCGTCCTTGGCCCCTGCTTGCTTTCTCAGGTATTCTGCGCTCTTCTGCTCAGGTGGTCTCTTGAGGTAGTGGCCTGCCTCTCTCTTGGCTCGCGAAGGCAGCCCGTATGAGAGTGCGAGCGGTATCAAGGGGGGGGGGGGGGGGGGGGGGTCCGCAGGTCTCGGAGACGGTACCACGAACGGCTTGGTGCCGCGCACGTACCATGCCACATCACATTACCAGTGCTGTTTGAAAAACTGAGGACATCTTCTGCTTGTTCTCATGAAACATGAACACCAGTCAAGAAAGTCAGAAGCTTTGAGAACATGTGATTTGCGTATTGATTTCATCATGACCCCCCTTGTTCGCATAGGCTTGTTTCCGTCTGCTGCGCCTGATTCCAGACCGATACTTTACTTGTTCCTGCCCGCCATGGCACGCCTCACTGCCTGTGCTGTTGGGGACCGCTCCAACAAACGTTGTCTCAGATGTAAGCGACTTAGGCGTACAGATATTCGCCTGACACTTGCGTAACAGGCACGCCAATGGACGGATCGCGGGATGCTTAGACTTTTTTGACGATGTTTTTAGGGGATGATGCGAGCATAGCCTGACGCAGATCTGCCCGACCGGTGAGTCGTTAATCGTAGGCGCGAACTGGCCAATGAGCTGCAGCGAATTCCTTGGGCTGCCTGGCCGAACACGTTTTGATGTCACTTGTGCGCGCTGCAGATTCCACAGCAGTTTTCGTGGCTGCGTCGTGATAGAAGAGCAAAGCGCTCTCTGGGCTTGTTCGCTCGAGGTCAGCGGCCAGATGGGGCGCTTCACGAGAAGGGGCTCTGGTGGCTCCTGACATACGTTCAAGTGTGGTGTGTGCTCTGTCAGCGGTGTTGCCCCAGCGCGCTGGAGTGACATGAATGGTACTGTATGGCTGCATTGCTGCACGCAGCGCAGTCATCACTCATTGTTGGTTGTCCTTGAACAGTACAGAAATGTTTGATGTGTATTGAATTGGCTGTTGAACGGAAGAAAAATGATCTGGTTTCTTTGCTCAGGTGCGACCAAAAATTAGCTTTTTGGCACATGCACGTTGTGTATGCATTTTTTCTTTACAGGTGCTCCGTGCTGGTAAATCCGTCCATCCATTGGACCATTTTAGCATTGACCGTGCTCGCACGAAGGAGACTGATGCTAACGCACCGCGTGATTCAACTTCGTGTACCTGTGTTTTACTTCCGGTTCTGTTTTTCGAATCACGTTCATTGCTATAATTGCATACTCGCTCGGCGAATATAAGTGCCCTTTGCTTGTTTCCTAATGTTTGATGTAAACCACAGCCGGTGATCTGTATGCGCCCGTTCTTAGTGGTTATCTGTCTGGCTTGGGCCTCTTGAGCTCCGCCTGCACGTCGTCGCTCGACCAATCGGGTGAAAAGCTTTTTTAAACAAATACAAATGTTGACCCTCGGATGATTTGAACTGTTTCTGCGTAGTGCGAACACACTGCGAAACGCTATGAAGAGAAAATTATTCAGCCATCGCTACCATTGTTTTTCTTTGTAAGTGCATCCCCCGATCCTGCGCACCGAGCCCCTATGAATCGTGGCAGTCTGAGGGCCACAGAGCGTGATCATGGTACCTTCAGGTCATACGAGAAGTCTTGCTGCTACGTCCAACGTTATCACCTTTTTCAACTTCCAAATAAGGGCATTTCGTGTCGAAAGTCGGCGAGCAGGATTTACCTGCAGCATAACTGACAGAAATCAGCTTGTGCACATCTTACAGTCAGAGGCACAGCTTCCGTCTGTGCAGATTCTCATTATCACGACGTGCCTTCTTTGCACGTGTTAGACATTATTCCTGAGGTCTAAGTAACCCTGGAATTGACATCTGCGTGAGGCATTGGCGTGTCCGTTTTTGTTTTTTGCTGCTTTTGCTTTTTGTGCTGAATTTCCTGACAAAAAAATGCCCCGGGTTGACCATATCATGAGGGAAGCGGAAGTGGTCGCATTGGTGGCAGCACTCACTGCCGTGGGGAATATAGCGCGCATGAGACGTAAGTGGGCCCAACGTAAGCGCCGCCGCCGCTAGATAGGCTTGGCGATATGTACATGTACGGCCGGCGTTGACGTGTGGTTGCGGTCAGTTGTACGTGGCTTGTTGCGATTATTCGGTGCCACAAATTGCTTCGACCTGGACTGTTCTCAGTGCCCCCAAAAATAGACAGGAACGTATGTGTGCCTCAGGGTCTGTTGAGGTTTTGGGGTCTTCCGATGCCTTTCGAGTACTTACGTTGCCTTGCCCTTTGTGGGAGCTTTGATTTAATCGCCGATTCGTGATGATGATTGGGGTTTTAGGGCGCGTCGACTTCTAGGGTCATTTTGCGCCCATGAATCGCCGATTCAGAACTTTGTTGGCTAAATTCAAGGTTTGACATCTAATGAGGGTATTTTTCTCACTTTAAAGTATGTATTTTGCATCAGTTATCATTATAATGAGCTGCAGTGAGATTTGGTTTGGAATGAGAATTGAAACGAAAACGTGTTTCACACCAATTGGGTGATGGGCTGCAGGGGAATTATTGGGAAGGTCAATTTTGATGGTAACTTTAGGTTGAGTTAGGTTGCAAGCTCTGTTAAGTGATGTGTGCATCATTATCTTTCTGCTTATTATGGAAGCATTTGCTTGAAAATCAATGGGTAGCTTGCATCTGTGACATAATGTTTACAAAGCACTCAGTGCTTTGTTTTTTGGCTCAATGCTTTGATGTAGCGAACACTTCTGTATATTCCATTACCCGATCACTGCAAGCTGAGTGTCCACTAGGTACTTCATCTTACAAGATGGACTCTGCCATGATCTCTTCACACTTTCCAATAATCATGTTCTATTGGGATGTGATGTAATGCCTCATTCATATGATGTAAAAAGACTTATCTGATGATTAGGCTGATATAGTTTGAATGTCAGGGCATATTCCACAAATTTATGTTTCACTTTTAAAAGTCAGTTATGAACCTGTAGCCAAGATGTTTCAGTTCAGGATAAGCAGGCCACAAAAGTATTGACTTTTGAGCTCCATTGCAATGCCTGTGGCATAATCAAATTTAGTTATCATGGAGGTACAAAGCAAATGTGTCCTCAATAAAGGGGGTGCCTTGTGACCTAACCTCTCCCCTGTGATGACAGCAACAATTCACTTGCCTCCTTGATTTAACTCTGGTAATTTGGTACCCCAGGACATGTGTGTCCCGCCAGTCATTGGTCGATCTCACACAAGCAGTAAGTCTTGGTGACATCTTTGATCTCAACAGGGAGGACTCCCTTTGAAATCCCTAATTGATTGCAGAGGCTCAGATAGGTTCTGATTTTCCCATTGTCCATTCCAGGATGACATCGGCCGTGCTTCCGAGGGTTGGCGAATGGCGACGGACGCCAGCTCAGCAGGCGCCGGCGTGCCGGAGCCTCCGCCGCCGAAGCGGCGTCGCTTGGAGCGCAAGATGGACAGCTCGTCGCCCGACAGAGCCGACGTCGGCCCCGACGGCAGTCCAGCGGCCTGCTGCGAGCCCGTGCTGGCGGACAGCGTGACGCGCGTGCTGCCCGTCACCACCGCACTGGTGGCCCGCATCTGCGACAAGCGGCAGACGCCCGAGCTGGTGAGCTGGCTGGCCACGAACGTGCCGGTGCCGGCGCTCGGACACCTGAAGCGTGTAAAGAGCGTCCAGCTGGGGGACGGGACGGCGCTCTTCGTCCTCATCGACCTGCTGGAGTGCGTGTTTCCGGCGCTGGCGCTGAAGCCGCCGGTCGAGCCGGGTGGTGCGGCGCCGCAGCCGCTGTCGGCCCCGTGCGTGCTGCCGGCGCTGGCGGCGGCGCTAGCAGGCCGCGGGCTGCCGCTCCGTCTGCAGGGGCTGGCCGACACCCTGTACGCGGCGCCGGTGGCGGCCGGCCGGCCCCTCACGCGACGCCAGTACACCCAGTCAGCGGCTCTCTGGCCCACCGTGTTCCACCGCGACCAGCGGCTGGAGGCGGCCCTCGCGGCGGCGCCGGCCGGCCGGCGCCGCCTGGCTGGCTGGATGGCGGCGGCGGCGCGCGCGGCCGCCCGCTCCACCGGCCGGTCGCGGGTTGGCTGTGTCATCGTGGACCCGGCCGCCGACCGGCTGGTGGCCGAGGCGGCCGACGCGCGCGGCGAGCACGCACTGCAGCACGCCGTCATGCGCGCCGTGGACGCGGTGGCGGCGGCGCAGGGCGGCGGCGCGTGGCTGCAGCCGGCCGCGCCGCCGCCACCGCCGCAACCGGCGCCCGCCGCCGCGCCGTACCTCTGCACCGGGTACGAGGCGTTTGTGACGCGCGAGCCGTGCGTCATGTGCGCCATGGCGCTGCTGCATTCGCGCATCGGACGGGTCTACTACGGCCGGCGGCGGCCCGACGGCGCGCTCGGCTCCCTCTGCAAGCTGCACGTGACCGAAGGGCTCAACCACCGCTTCGAGGTGTTCGCTGGCCTGTGTGAGGAGCTTTGTGAGCAGGTGGGGGGTGAGGATGGCTCGTGACCCTTGTTCGGCGCCGCTGGACGACTGGTGACCCTAGCTCAGCGCTGCTGAAAGGGTGGTGGCCCGGGGTCGGCACCAAACTAGTTCATCAGGTCATTTCGGCAGATGGGCAGCCGGTGACCACTTCCACGCCGCCGCATTCAGTGCAATTTGTTTTTAACAACGGAATGTGCCTCCGGCAGAGCATCTCGGGGTTTCCTTGAGCGGGTAGTGTGCCTGTCGTAAGGCCGCCAGAGGTACAAAGCAACGACTGATGTCCTCCAGGGATGCCGCCCACTATGATGTCACCCGCTATTCGACCATTGTGTGGAGTGATACTGGCCCTTTTGGATACAGATATGAGGGTGTGCGTTGTTTTCCGTCCGCCCACGCGCAATGGTCCTCCCCGGGTAATCAGTGGAGATCAAGAGCGGTGGCGTCCTCCGATTCGCCGAATCACCGGCCCGCCGTGAGCGGCTCAGTCGCCGGCGCGTTGATGACAACCAATGGGACCGGCGAATTCCCGACGAGTAACTCTGAAGAATGGTGGTGAGGGGCGCCAGGCACGGACCCAGTGTCACTAACAAGCATCTCTAACGGAGACGCCGCCCAATCCAGCTATGCACTGTTTTGCTTGCAAGCTTTCCAAATTACAAATAACACATACCGTCGGCATCGATGCCCACTACCTCGTGGCCGTTTCATTTACGGATAAAGTGGCACGGCCCATGTTAACAGGCATGCAGAGGGGTGGCACGGCCCATGTTAACGTATGCAGAGGGGTGGCACGGCCCATGTTAACAGGCATGCAGAGGGGTGGCACGGCCCATGTTAACAGGCATGCAGAGTGGTGGCACGGTCCATGTTAACAGGCATGCAGAGTGGTGGCACGGTCCATGTTAACAGGCGTGCAGAGGGGTGACACGGGCCATGTTAACAGGCATGCAGAGTGGTGGCACGGCCCATGTTAACAGGTATGCAGAATGGCGACACGGCCCATGTTAACAGGCATGCAGAGTGGTGGCACGGCCCATGTTAACAGGCATACAGAGGGGTGGCACGGTCCATGTTAACAGGCGTGCAGAGGGGTGACACGGCCCATGTTAACAGGTATGCGGAATGGCGACACGGCCCATGTTGACAGGCATGCAGAGGGGTGGCACGTCCGCGAGACAGGTTGCCGCGCTGTTGTCACGAGTGCAAGGACGGGAATTTCATATTACCCAAGTCTCCAGCTTTTTTCGGATTCGAAGGATCATAATCTTATTCAGTACACCAACTAACGTCTGTGAAATCTTCTGGCCGCTTCAGGTCAGGCTAATGCCAAATTCAAGATCAATTGACGTGGAACCCCATGCCGCCCACGTTAATGGCCGATTTCGTTATTTAGGCATCTGAATTTTCCAACCGCGTAAACTAGCGTCCATCGCCAGTATGTTGATAAATCTTGACGTCTCAAGTTTGATCTTAACGGCCAAATTCAATGTCAAGTGATTGGCACACCTCGTCACCTAAAAGTGACTAGTCTTTTTCGGATGCAGGCGTTGTGCGAACGAATTGGATGCGAAGCTCTCCCCGGTCATGATTTGTAACGGCATTCGGCGGCAGCGTCAGCAGTCCACATACAAACCAGGCATGTCGTTAGACTTTATGTGATTAATGAATGACGGGCTATCCCGTGAGGATTGTTTCGTGTGGATATTATGTCACTCGTGTAGATATTTGTTTTCCGTAATTGATCGGCAGCTTTTATGCAAACATAAAAGAACACACGGGACGTGAAACATCTGGAGAATTAGCGCTTTGTTTCAGCTTCTGTTGCAGAAAAACACGGCGTGTTAAATAAAAGCGTATATATTTAGATCGATGTATCACGAGCGGATCACAGCGACTATTTCCGCCCAGCGAGCGTCGCGTATTTGTGGGATCACAGTCGTCACAGCGCAGGCGTGTTCTCACCACGTAGCGATATCAAGATGGCGTCTCGAGCTGACAATCACGGCTGCCGCACTGAGCACAAGGCAGTTCATCTGTCGCTGAGTTCTGACACGCAGTCCGTCACCCGCCACTCGTCAACGGCACGTCTTCTGACATTGGTGCCGGAATAACTGCGCCTTTAGTAACTCGTTTCATCCAACTAAATGGGCGCATCCACAAAACCTGCCGGAGACAAGGTTGGCGGCGTCTTGAAATATGACAAATATTAACAAGGCAGCAGCCTCCTATTTGTCCAGGATGAATACCTACAGTGGCTAGTTATCATATACAGTAGAAAATCCAGCACCGATACCCTACAGCCAATCAGGAGGCGGCTTCGAAGACAGCGGGGAGGGTCGGCATGCACTTTAAGATGTGCCACAGGCCGCTTCTCCCAGACTAAAAGCTCTCAGACTGAAAACAGTACGCCACATCGGATACGACCAACGCAAAAACCCGGTGGAAAACGCCCGCCGGCAGCAGCCCCTGGCAGACATCAGACGAAAGGTGTGATCGCTGTATGACGTATGAGATGCCTCACTTGTGCGCACATGTGCCGTTCTCGACAGCCGACATCAGATATTCGACGTTTGACGACATTCGCCCTTCTACTTGAATCAAACTCGCACACAGAAGTCTGATAGCACTGGAAGGCTATGGCTTGCACCAAACCCTCACCGACCCAGCGCCCATATACCTACGCAGTACATGACTGCAATCAGCTCACGCAGCGCCAGCACCAGCGCCAGCACCAGCGAGTCGCGGCACCGCGGCGACCCCGGCCCGCAGCGCGTCTCGGCGCCCCGGCCCGGTCAGCGGGCCCCCGCTCCCAGTAGCCGGGCCCCGGCCGCCTCGGTGAGGTCACCGGACGGCCCTGGCGGCGCGGCCGGCGCCGGACAGCAGGCCGCTCTGGTAATGCTCCGCCAGCTGCTCGGCCTCCAGCGGCAGGAAGCCGAGCGTGACCAGTGTGCGCGTGGTGCGCGCCGTCAGCTCGTCCCGGTAGCGCCAGATGGCCGTGTCCAGCACGGTGTCGCGTCGGTACTCGGCCTCGCACGTCGCCTGCAGCGGGCCCACGCAGTCGGCCCGGTAGTGCTGCAGCTGCGCCTCGGCTGTGCTGATGCTGTAGGAGAGACAGCCGCCCAGACACGCCAGCGGGAAGTGATTGTGCAGTGCCACCACCCGGTCAGTGCGGTGGAAGCACTTGACGTAGTGGCCCGGCTTGGTGTAGTTGCGGCTGCGCTGCACGTGCTGCAGCATGTGCATATAGCGCGGGATGTCGCGGTGCCACGTGTGCTCGTGGTCCGGCGCGTCGAAGAAGTAGACGTTGCGGACATTGTAGGAGGCGATTTCCTTGCCCCTCTTCCTGGCCTGGACGTCTGCACGCGGCACAATGGCCGTCATGAGGTCTGTCCAGCTGATGTAGGCAGTCGGCATGATGACCTCATCCGTGTCCAGCAGCACCACATACTCGTAGCGGTAGAGGTTGCGGTAGAAGCAGTCGTTGTAGGGCACCAGCTCGCTCTGGCGCCGGTTGACAACCTTCTTGCGGAGGTAGAGCCGCTGCAGTGGTGAAAGGTTGGGCTGCTCACCGGCCAGCGTCAGCGGCGTCACCTCCACCAGGCCCTCCTCCTGGTAGTGTCGTAGCACTTTAGAGATGTTGGGATGCACCTCCAGCTCGTAGAGGAATACCTTCTGGGCGCCGACCGCGCGCAGCGTCTCCAGCCACTCTACCAGCCGCACCGACATGTCCTCGTCCGGAAACGACAGACCCTTGACGCAGACGGCGAACTGCTGGCGCTGCCGGCCGGCCGGCGGCCGGTTGTTGACGACGCGCAGCGCCACCGTGGACCTGTCGCACGGCCGCTCCACCACGGTGACGGCGCGCGGCACGAGCCGCTGCAGCGCCGCCGGCACCTGGCACGCCATCAGGTACGGCTGCAGCACGCCCTGCTCGTAGTTGCCCCAGCCCTTGTACCACACGTACTTGTACTCCAGCACGGGCACGACGACGGGCTCGTGGAACTGCTCGAACCACAGCTGGCAGTGGGTACGCAGTGTTGGCTGCAGTCGGTCGATCATGACCAGCAGACGCACCAACGGGCCGCTCGCCAGCGTCGGCCGGTTGTCGTAGTACGCGGCGTAGAAGTTGTAGGTGCCGTTGCTGGTCTCAAGCACTTGCCAGTAGATGTTGTTGAACTTGAGGTCGTAGAGCGCCGGTAGGCGGGCGCACGTGCCGTTGATCTGGGAGGTGACGCCGAACCGCCGCGCCCAGAAGTCTATCGGCAGGCTGCGTACAGTCTGCTGGATGCTCTGTAGCACTTGGCGCTCGGAGCGCGCCGGCGTCTTGTCCACCAGCGGCTGCAGTCGCAGCAACCGTTGCAGAGGCACAGCGTCCGTAGTGGTCTCAGTCGGAGGCTGCTGCAGGATCTGGCGTGTGTTGCCGGCGCGACCCGGGCCGGCTCCCTGCCGCTCCATCCCGCCGAACCTGCTGGGCCGGGAGTCACGGGTCAGCCAGCTGATGGCTACAGTTCAGGAGAGCGAGACGGGGTCACTTGCCGGCCACAGCCCAGGTGAGAGGTACAGGACAGCTGCCGGTCACAGCCCAGGTGGCAAGCAGGGGTCAGCTACCGGTCACAGTCCAGACGAGAGGTACGGGGTTAGTCAACAGCCACAGCCCAGATGAGAGGTGCGGGACAACTGACGGTCACAGCCCAGGTGAGAGGTACGGAACAGCTGACGGTCACAGCCCAGGTGAGAGGTACGGGACAGCTGACGGTCACAGTCCAGGTGACAGGTACGGGACAGCTGCCAGTCACAGTCCAGGTGAGAGGTACGGGACAACTGACGAACACAGCCCAGGTGAGAGGTACGGGACAACTGACGAACACAGCCCAGGTGAGAGGTACGGGACAGCTGACGAACACAGCCCAGGTGAGAGGTACGGGACAGCTGACGAACACAGCCCAGGTGAGAGGTATGGGACAACTGACGGACACAGCCCAGGTGAGAGGTACGGGACAACTGACGAACACAGCCCAGGTGAGAGGTACGGGACAACTGACGAACACAGCCCAAGTGGTGTCAGAGCGATAGCAGCCCTTACTAAGCACACAGCACATTTTCGGAGACAAACGAATTCAGCGCAGCGGGGGACTGACTCCTTGGTGAAGTAATCGGCTAACCGCGCCAAGCCGTGACAAATTGATTTGACACAGCAGGGGCTGGCACTTTGCGTAACAGCCACCCAATGCGGTGCTCAGACCTGCCGGCGCCGCAGCTACAGCAGCGAAACTCTACACGTCGTCGAGAGCGCGACCTAGTGCTGAGGTCGTGCGGCTGCGACGTGGCTCCCACGGTGGGTCAGCGGGTCAACGGAGACAGTTTCGTGTGACGTGCACTGGAGGACCGGATGCACCAGGACAGCTGGGGTGCACCATTTTACACTGGAGGATAGGACACACCAGAACAGCTGGGGTGCATCATTACACACTGCAGGACAGGGCGTAACAGAACAGCCGGGATGCATCAGAGCAGCTGGGGTGTACCAGGGCACTTCGGGTGCACGCTACGCTCTGGCGAAAACAAGGGCGCAACAAAACAGCTTGGGAACAGCTGGGGCGCACCACCACGTACTGGGGATGGGGCGCATCAGAACAGCTGGGGTGCACCACTGTCCACTACGCAATGACCACCAAAATGTAAAAATAACACCCTCATGTCTCATTTTTGTATATAAGCTCTTCCTTGGGGTTATCTGGTGTTCAGACTTCATTTCTTAGATTATTTAACTCAATCCGAGAGATGGTTATGAAAACACATTCCCTGTAGGTTTTTTTCCAAGTTTGCGATCAAGGCCCATTTTTACGACCTGCATGGTCCATAATATTAGCGCGAAGGTGTAAAATTGTTAAATATTCGAGCGCTAATGATTTGGGGATTACCATGAGAATGATCGTTGGTTTGTGATGTTGAGCAAAATCTTAAAGCAAGTGTTCCAGATGTGTATGGGGTCTTGCACCGAAATGGTGTCGCCTCCGTGGTCCAGGGAGAAAATACTGGACCCGCAATCCAGCGGCACTGGGTACGAGTCCCAGGACGGGCGTATTGCTTGACCCGCCTGTAATGGAAGGGTCAGCTGGCAACTGGCCAACGAGGGTCAATCCTGGCCCGGGGCGGCCGTGTCGCAGCATTGTGCGGCACGTAAAACCCTCCACATTCCTGTCTGGCGCAAGGGCGGAGGCAAAATTATCCGTCGAACTGGGCGGTACGACTTGTGTGGTGAGTTCAGAGTGCACGCAACAAGCTATGCTTAGCAGGTAATGTGAACCCAGTCACCCAATGCAAACCATTCGGAATAAATTTATTTCAAAAATTATTAAGATGATAAAAAACAGTCATTTTGAAGATTATTTGGTGTAGCTGACAGCCCGCCCTTCATGCTCGTGTACAACCGGACATGGCGTACAAAATACCGATCACGACCAGTCAGACAGGACAACATGCCATACAGGTGTATATACGGGCAGACTTGACGACCGTGGATATAAAACAGAACGCGGACAGAGCGGGCAAAACAGAGCCAGAAGCCATGTGCAAGAGTCGGGCCGAACAATGCGGTATATAAATATTGGCGTGTTCGGCCCAGGCAGCACAAACGCATGGGTCACCGAACAAGGCCGGGCGTAGACGATTCAACAACAGCCGGACCACGCGGCGCAGGGTTCACATCCAGGCGCGACCGGGCCGGACAAGAGCGGATAGGAATCTGCGCTATTTCCGCCGGCATTCATTGGACAACCACACATAATCCAGGCCGACCGTCGCCAACGAAAGGGCTTCTGGCCGGCGGCTTGCGAAACCGTCCTCGCATGGAGCAGTCCCGGTGATTGCGCAAGGATGTTTGCTCATGCGAACGGGCCTTTGTCATCCCGCTTTTGCATATGGCGATGACCGGACGTGCCATGACCTGGAGCGGACGTGTACGGAGTGCTCGCCCGCTGGGCAGGCGCAGCGGGCACCCTCTGTCTCGGAGCTGTGCACACTCCGTGTGAACTCAGCTTGACCTGGAAATAACTGACCCTCGGCGAACAGGCCCGACCGCTGAGACACACCAGCCAGCACCACTCCGAATGTCACGTGCAACAGTCGGTGCAGTCGGTGCAGTCAGAACAGTCCGCAGCTAACATAATCTTCACGTATCGCCCACAGCCGGCTCGACACACTGGTGCGCGGTGTGGGCGCGTCAGATTTTCAAGGAAATATTCATGTTAACATTATCACGCCTGTAAGTACGGGGCCTTGAACAACCATTTGCTTTCAATGGCCTGTGGCTCGCTTCAGAGGCGGATGTAGTGATTAATACCCCGTATGTTTCATCAATATACCGAGATCAGATGTAGTTTTGTTTCTTCCTCTCGGACTCGAGGCAATCACCTGCTAATGCTTCAAAGACGCGTACATGTCCTACCTACTTTGCCGGCCACCTCTGGGGCACTAGTGGCAATCGCAGGCTACCACGGGTTCTGTCAGAGCCAATGGAAAAGTCCCGTTCTGCTATTGATGGCTTGTGTCTAAGCCAGCTGCCACAGCTCTGTGTCAGGGCCGGCAGCTGACCCGGCCTCCCGGTCAGCCCCGCAGCTGACCCGCCCCCCCCCCCCCCCGGTCAGTCCCGCAGCTGAACCGGCCTCCCGATCAGCCCCACAGCTGACCCGGCCTCTCGGTCAGCCCCGCAGCTGACCCGACCTCCTGGTCCGCCGGCCAGACGCCGCTGGCGGCTCGCGCGGCCGAATCTCGGGCAGCGGCAAGGTCCCGCCCCACATTCGGGGCCCGTCTACTGCTGATGGCGGCGGTAACTGGTCACGATTGTTCCGAGGACGCGGCCCGGCATCACGCCGGCGGGAGCAGCGCCGCGAAAACCCCGGCCGGTCGCCGGCGCCGGGGTCAGATGACGTCGTTGGACGACAGTGGAGCGGACGGGCGGGGTGACGCCATCCGACCAGCGGCACAAGGAGCGTTGAACGGTCCTCCCGCCGGCTCCTTCTGGAGCCTCCACGCACAACGCACAAATGGTCGGAAACGGCGCGCGCAACATTGCATCCACGTCTAGACCACGGGTGCAGGTCAACGACCCCCAGGTACGACGTGGTCACCAGATGTGCTCATTTGAAATGAGGACGTTCGGAGCACCAGGTCTTCCTGTGAAGCGGAGCCGCCGCCGAGTACACGGCCGTGGCCGCCTGTCAGGCCAGCGCCTCATCTGCCGAACTCCTGCAGCTGCAGGTAGCATCAGTCAGATCATTAAGGCTACTCGGACGACGGCCAATGCCGGGCTCACAAACAGCAGGGCGCGGCAAGGACGGCTGGCGAAAGCGAAGGTCTTGTGTGCTGAAGTGCAAGCGTGTGCACTATCATCTGTGCACATCGGTGCACCGAGCTGCTGTGCGGACTGACTGCAACGCTAGGACTGCAGGCAAACTGGGGACACGCCAGATCTGTGAAAAATGCTCGGCCCTCGCGCAAGATACGCTCGTATCGCGACTGTCTTGTGCCGGTGTGGAAGGCTCGATTTAGAAAAGGCAGCAGGGGTAGTACGGCAGACGCATGACGGCCAGATAAACCTGGCTGTTATACGGCTGCCTTCTTCCCCACATCTCCCAAACAGCGTGATTCGCCTCCCAGTAAACACCGCCCCGCATGTACAGCGCCAGAGCGACATACGCATCGAGGTACGGAGCGCCGTCTCGCCGGTTGTGATCATCATCACAATCTGACAAGGCCCGTTAAATCCGTGCCCTCATTTGCTGGCGTGCGTCCGAGGCGATAGCATCTAGGACCTGTTACCCATCGGCCCTGAACTCAGGCCGGAGTGTTGGGTCAACGATTGCATTGCGGTCAGCAAGCGCCTGGCCGGGCAGGGTTCGTCAGGCACCGGCGAGTGAGTCTGAGCTCGTGGCATTGCTAACACCAAACGAACCCGTCCGCAAGCCTGCAGAAAAAAAGCTGGGGCAAAATCACCCGGCCAAACGCCCTGTGCATTACGTACTGAACTCAATGCCACCCTCGCAAGCATTCTGAGACAATTGCCTACAAATACAAATAGACTAGAAGCAACAAGCAAACCAGATATGTCTCATCATATTGTTGCACAAAAAGGAAATGCAACTAGTTAAGAATGGCAAAATTGTTTAAAGATGGAGAACGACATTGAATATCGTTTCCTTACTACTACAGCACACTGGTGTGGAAGAGAAGGTGGTAGATATCCGATTCTCATGAGAAACAGAAAGTCCAGCTGAGCGACAGAAAAAAACGCGAAAAAACGTGATGGCCTCCGTCGGGGTGGAACTAGAGCAAGCAAATCAAGTGGGGGAGCGGACAATGAAACAGTCATAAATGTCTGCGCCAGAGTAATGGACGGGTGGGAGCGGTCCGACCATGGAGGACAAACGTGCTAGGTATGCGCCGCGGTACGAGCGAACGCTCGTCTGCCGGTCACGAAATGTGGGGCAAGGACACGCTGGACGTTGGAACGCCAATGGCCAGCCGCTGGGGGGTGAGCCTCGGTTTCCGCTCGAACGACAACTGCGCTGTGTGCAAACGAACGCGAGCGAGAGAGAGAGAGAGAGAGAGAGAGAGAGGAGAGAAGAGAGAGAGAGAGAGAGAGAGAGAGAGAGAGAGAGAGAGAGAGAGAGAGAGAGAGAGAGAGAGAGAGAGAGAGAGAGAGAGAGAGAGAGAGAGAGAGAGAGAGAGAGAGAGAGAGAGAGAGAGAGAGAGAGAGAGAGAGAGAGAGAGAGAGAGAGAGAGAGAGAGAGAGAGAGAGAGAGAGAGAGAGAGAGAGAGAGAGAGAGAGAGAGAGAGAGAGAGAGAGAGAGAGAGAGAGAGAGAGAGAGAGAGAGAGAGAGAGAGAGAGAGAGAGAGAGAGAGAGAGAGAGAGAGAGAGAGAGAGAGAGAGAGAGAGAGAGAGAGAGAGAGAGAGAGAGAGAGAGAGAGAGAGAGAGAGAGAGAGAGAGAGAGAGAGAGAGAGAGAGAGAGAGAGAGAGAGAGAGAGAGAGAGAGAGAGAGAGAGAGAGAGAGAGAGGAGAGAGAGAGAGAGAGAGAGAGGAGAGAGAGAGAGAGAGAGAGAGAGAGAGAGAGAGAGAGAGAGAGAGAGAGAGAGAGAGAGAGAGAGAGAGAGAGAGAGAGAGAAGAGAGAGAGAGAGAGAGAGAGAGAGAGAGAGAGAGAGAGAGAGAGAGAGAGAGAAGAGAGAAGAGAGAAGAGAGAGAAGAGAGAGAGAGAGAGAAGAGAGAGAGAGAGGAGAGAGAAGAGAAAGGAGAGAGAGAGAGAGAGAGAGAGAGAGAGGAGAGGAGAGAGAGAGAGAGAGAGAGAGAGAGAGAGAGAGAGAGCAGTCGAGAGGGGGTCGTTCGATCCCGTGCCCCATTCTGGGGCAGGTGTTCCGGTCTCCAGGAAGAGCGCGCTCCTCTTTCATCACGCCCATATGGCTTACGGGCCGGGTTCCGCACCGGTTATAACGTACCGGCACCGAGACTCAGTTGGCTGGACAGACCTCTGTGTCCGGGCGGCCGGTGAGCCCGGGCAGGAGCACGTAGACGCACCGGGTCAGGTCAAGGTCGCTGAGGACGGGTTCCGGACGACCGCACCGTCCTGCTTAGAACGTTGGGAAATGTCGCGCCGCCGCCGCCGAGTTTCGACACGCCGCGTGACAGCAGGGATCCATGGCGGTCTGCGGCGGACGCCCCTAATGCCAGGCAGTGACCGGCATTCATAATTCGCCGAGCGTCGCTCCATGCCGCAGCGGCTGGTGCTACTGACGGCTTCCCATCCTTCACGTGCGGTGGCCTCGGGAGCCCCCCACTCACCGCCATCAAAAGGGATCGATGAGACTGGGTGCACATCGTCACACGTTATCCAGCCGTGACATGCCATCGACAGTTCAGCGCGGGGAAGGAATCGGCGCGGGAACGACGTCGCACCGCCGGATAGCACGCTCAGAGGGCATGCCTGACCTCCCGTCCCTGATCGGTGTGGCCCCAGAGGTGGCGTCACTGTCGGACAGCACGCTCAGAGGGGCATGCCTGACCTCCCGTCCCTGATCGGTGGGGCCCCGGAGGCGCCGTCACCGCCGGACAGCACGCTCCGAGATGCTGGATGTGCCGTTTCCGGCGAGGAATCGGCTCCGCCCGCGTGACCGCACGGGGAGCGTGACGGCACGGGCACGACACGACCCCGCTGGCGGCAGAGCGGCGGGAGGGGGGGGGGGGGGCGCGGCGCGACGCGACGGCCGCTGAGGTGTGGCGTTCAGCACACCGGACAGGCCGGCGTCGCCGACGTGCGGCCGCGGGCCGCAGGCGGGCTCGAGGGCGCTGGCTGCTGACGGGCGGCTCAAGATAAGGAAAGTTCCATTGCAGAAACTCTCAAATAACTAACGAGATCAGGATTCCATCACAACCTTGGCACTTCGAAAATGGTGAAGACATCCACACTGCCGTCTGGTTTAGTTATTGTGAGAACTGGCACCAAAGAACATTAGATGCCAGTTGAAAAGTAAATATTTGAAAGAAGATGGCAAAGCATGACGTGTGGGGAGAGTGCATGTCGCGGGCGGAGCCCCACCTCTGGTTGTTTTAAGCAGTATTTAAAGCTGTAACGTTTCAAAATTCCCCAAAGGCATCCAAAGCCTGAGGGAAAAATAATAAATTCCACGTTGCGCAAGCCAAATTCTTCAGACGTCCCGATAGTTGGGCCAATTCCTAACAGCAAGAAAGCGGAGACTGGGACTGTTGTGAGCAACATTAAATTGTGTTGGTATAAAATCTCATGAAAAGCGTCAGAATCAATTTCTTATTTGGCAGTAAACCTAAGCTGCCCTTGCAAGGACTTACGCATATCGAATATGAGACCATAATGAATGTATTTGCGGTAACAAATTTAAAGAAACCGACCTCATTTTACAGCTTGTTTGCGTAAAGCAAGAAAACCGTGAGAAAGAGGTTGGGTCGACAAAAAATGTAATGTTATTGTTCTGCGATAAACATATACTCCATGTGTGTATTTTAATCCCAAACAAATTACGACTAGCGTTTCTCAACGGATCCCCAGCCACAGTAAAGCCCAATTCTTTTTCAGCCTACATAAATCGACAGCAACTAAAACATTGTCATTCTTGCACTCTGTCCTCGGTTGAAGAAAACTGCCATATTGAAAGAAGCCAGCGCCGCGCCTTTGCCTCATAAAAGACCCCGGCTATCGTCAATTTTCCAACTTGTTGGTGTGAAGAGAACATTTCTGACCAAGTGCGGATACCAAATCAGCCAGGATTGCACGCGGCAGCTGTCTATGTATTCAATACGATAACTATTTTTCAGTAAGCGCATTAAATGAGAGCATTAAATAAAACTCGCCATCTTCGATTTCACCCAGCGAAAACTGGAAAACCACGGCGGATGGCGAGTTACGAAATGGCATCGTCTCGGGTAACTGGAGCGAAAGTCGGGCGACGCAGGAGGCTGGCTTCACGGACCGGCCGGCTGCTGTCCGCCGGCACTGGGCGCCATCAATCTCGGCACGTGCCGCGCGTGACCGCGACGACGCTGACCAGGGATCCATCGGGATCATCCAGCTTCATCATCACCTGGCTGGGGACTGTGAACCAGCGCTCCGGCGGTTGTTGTTGTTTTGCTTTGCTCGCAAGCCTAGTTCACCGGCTGACACTGCGTTGACCTGCCATCACTGGTTGCAAACTGTGAACTCCTAGGAAGTGTGACGGCCGGGGCGGGCTGCTGAAGTTATTTTCCAAGCTCATTGTAGGTCCTCTCGGCCTGCAGGTTCACTACTGATCGCGAATACACGCGATATTCGGATGCAGCAGGGCCCGTCAGCGCCCAAGGGAGGGAGCGGACGAGGGGGTGGGGGTGGGGGAGGGGGTGGGGGGGGAGGGGGGAGCGGGCCCCAGCCATCCCATAGCACCGACATCGGCGAGACATTACACCACGCACCTAGCAGCCGCACTTCTGTGCGTGTGTACCATACCATCCCACAAATACCATGTATGTGTACCACATTATGGGGGCACTGGGACCGGCAAAAGCCCGCTCCATTGTCGCTGCTCTCCCACAGTACAGATTTCCACGTGCCCCGGTATGCGGGGACCGAACAGCAAGCTCCATGCTGGTGACTGCACGGAATGGCAACATGTCGCCGGTGTGTATGAAGAACAGACGTCACGACATCCCGACCGCTTTTGCCTTTAAATGCCCGTCATCTGCTGCCAGACAGACGTCACGGCATCCCGACCGCTTTTGCCTATACCAATCGAGACGAATCTTAAACTGGGGAATGCCTCTTAAAAATATGCGTCCTCTATTGATCGTTGACCACGGTGTTCATATGAATGTGCATTTGGTGAGTACCATCTTATCAACGCAGTGATTTTAGTGATATTCATTCAACGCAGTGCCCTTGCGTACATGTGACTTGCCTCCAACAGATTTCATTTTCCCCACGCTTGATAGATAATCGTGGCATGTGCCTCTGAGTGGGTACAACTTTGGCAATGCCAGTTTGCGAGGTTGTTGTTTGAGAAGCACACACGCAGGCGCTGAAGCACGCATATCACTTTGATCGCTTCGTGCTCGAACTATGGGAGTTATGTTAGTACTATCGGGATGGCGTATCAAACCTACACTCAGGCGAGTTTCCAATGACCAAACACCGCGAAGGAGCGCCAGCCGCCTTCAGTCTGACACACGGGGACAGTGAGGTCGTGACAGCGGCCCGTCTGCACAGCCGGCGCCGCCGTGCCTCCCACCTGTAGAGGCCGTAGCAGGCAAGACAGCAGAGCAGCAGCAGCAGCAGCAGGAGCTGGCGCTGCGGCGGGCAGCCGGCCAGCCGCCTCGTCCACCAGGCCATCGGTCGCGTGCGTCGCCGCCGCCCTGCCGGCCCGACAGACAGCGCGTGAGGGTGCCGCCCAGCTGGGCGCGTCAGCCGGCAGCCGTCACTGGCGACGCTCACGGGTACGGCACTTGCTCTCAGCCTGCACGGGTCTATTGCGCTGTTCAGCGACAGATGCGCCGGCTGTGATCGTTGCTTTGGTATGCCATCTGGTAGGTGTAGATACCGTTGCCATCTCCTCTGCTGGCTGGAGTGACAGATGCCGCTGCCATCTCCTCTGCTGGCTGGAGCGACAGATGCCGTTACCATCTCCTCTGCTGGCTGGAGCGACAGATGCCGTTACCATCTCCTCTGCTGGCTGGAGCGACAGATAAAGCACAAGCACACCGGCAGCAAAATATTCTCACAGAGGTGCTGTAACTGGCATTGCCAGCGCCGACCAAGGTGGCACCCGGTGACTGCGCGCAACGATGCGAGGGCTCCTCTCGGATGTTTGCCAGCTCGTCAGCGCAGCGGTCCGCCACGCTCACGGCCCACCCACCCGAACGCCGCGTCCGCAGCAGTGACCGAGCGCGCCGCTCCACGGCCAGCTCTGCAGGAGGCGGGTGACTTCCGGGCGCCGCTCGTGCGCGCGGCTCCGCCGGTAACGGGAGCCGGCGGCGCGCAAGATGCCGGCGGAACAAATAACAACGCTCCGCTTGAGAGACAAGTGCCCAGGGCAAGTCGGCAATGCGGCATTACGGACAGAGATGGCAACGCGACATTACGGACAGAAATGGCAACGCGACATCACGGACAGAAATGGCAATGCGACATCACGGACAGAGCGCAACAGACGGATGTGGTGGGACGGCGGCGGGGCGGACTGGCGGCTATGAAGCGGGGTTTTCGCGCCATTAGGTACAGGCTATGATGGTTGCGGGCAGCCGACGGCGGTACAGAGTTACTGTTGAAAGGAAATATTTCACATTTGAAGATATTGAAGCAAGCATCACAGATGCTGAAACAAGTGCACTTAGAACTTTTGATATACTTCTAAGCAGAAAAGACTGCTCTAGACAGCACAATTCCCCCGTTCGGCAAATATGCTGCTCGATATGTCATTGTTTAATTACGTCATCGTACCTTGTACAACATTGATTGGGAGCCAATTGACGGCCGTTATGTCTGGAAGTCGTGCTCATAAACGCTAGATATGAATGACTCGACTATTATATTTTTTTGCCTTGATTGTCACGGGGCCTATGGGATGACAAGGTTTGAATAACGTTATTACGGCGTCATGAATACCAAGGTGACCTTGAAATACTCTCCCCGAAATAGTCTTGCCGTCTTCGCGGGCGTCTGGCTCAGAAACTAGAACAATTTAGGCCTCAAGAAGGGCGGGGCTCTGAAATGTACAGAATGCCCTTCAAGATGGCTATTTCAGCTCAAAACCCATACAAATGTAAAGCGCTCCAATTGAGTGCATGGGTTCTGTTCCGTTATTAACTCGCTGCCGCGATAAAATTCGAATAAAAGGTACCGTTCGGAAGCGTGGCGCGCAGCGTTTGCAACAGCGCCCAGTATGGCCACGCCATGAAACAAAGAGAAACTCGTGAAATCATGAATAGCGGAGGCGGTTGCGCGAAACGCTGTTTAGTCATTTAGTCAAGTGTCCCAGAATTCTGCTATAGTATCGCCGCACGGAAGGCATTTGATCGTGTAGTGGCAAATGGTGGCACGATTAGTTGCTGAGACGCATTCTGATATGCAGCGTTTCCTTTAAGTGGCTGAAAAGCCATCGGGAGTGCCGGACATAAGCTGCCACCGTTCAGCTTGTTCGTTGTCTCCTTGTTTAAATGATCCAATGCACAATATTTCTGACCTTTATCAGTGTGTTGAGTTGCTGATCAAAATTATCACAAAAGATTAACAAGATGAAGAAATGATACGGTCAGCGACCGAAGGACATTGACTATTCGAAAAGGCTTCGGAACTTTATTGGCGACTATGGGAACTAAAGTGACAGGAGATTCAGCGCCAGCGGTCGGCAAATTCAAAATTGGTCGTTTTGGGGTTAACTGGTAAGAATGCATCCAAATGTTTATGATCCCAACTCAAACTCTTTTCTTGGCTATGGGCTCCCAAACTTGGAAAAAATTCCGATGTTCACGGATTTTTTTTAGTATGAAGGTGAACAGGTGAGTAAATCCAGAATGAAGCATCCCTTGTGCAATGCTTCTTATGCTAGCGCTACAGCTGCTGAAGTTACAAGCTGCCCGGATGTCAAATTTCCACAGTCATGACTATTGGTAAAGCGTGCACTGTGTGTCCACTATTTTGGTTGCAGCAACAATGCATCCTTTTTTGCATATAAAACGAATGGCTGAACCTCGACCAGCAAACACAGCCGCCAAAAACATCGGCGTGTGGTCAGGCAGGATGCAGGTCGACCAGAACAGCGAAGGCTCGTCACTCACTTTAGCGCACGCAAGTCACCAGCACCGGCTGGGATTTCGTCTTGTCTTCCCGCTGTGGGCTCATTTTCTTCATTTACTGTCATTTTTTTTCCAACAGAGAACGGAAGTGTCCACCGTCCAGCAACAGGTAGCCGGAGGGTGTTGCTACTTTGATTCACTGAGACTCACAGCGCTGCACGGCGATGCTCACTAATCCGTGCAAAAATAATCTTCCAGGCCATGAGACTTCCTGGGAATAAATGAACACAGCCTTCCAGGGTACCGGTGTCATCCCGCAATAAAATGGTAACTAGACCACCATCCACCCCATGTCAAAAACAGCAACCTCAAGCTGCGTGTCGTGCAGAATGGCTTCGTGGCGGACGGTAGCTGCACATCGGGCACCGAGCCCACCCAGCGTCGGCAGCACCTTCAGCGCTTGCTGCGCTGCGGGACTTCCCGGCTCATCCACTCTCGGTTTCGCTGGAGCAGGTCGCGCCATGCTGCAAAACTCACGCGCGCTGACGTCACGTGCGATCCAAACACGACGGCACAAAACCTCGACCTGAAGTTGACGCTCCCTGCTGTTGTTAGCGGCTGGCAGGTCCACACCGGAGAAGCACGGCAGCAGGTCGTGCGGCTGGCAGGTCCACACCGGAGAAGCATGGCAGCAGGTCGTGTGGCTGGCAGGTCCACACCGGAGAAGCACGGCAGCAGGTCGTGTGGCTGGCAGGTCCACACCGGAGAAGCACGGCAGCAGGTCGCACAGCTAGACGGCATCGATGGCACGGAGCCGCCATACACTGCTTCCAAGGCTAGCGCGATAGACGATACACATCTCTATCGTGAAATCTTCCGACGGTTCGTCCGTCACATTCCGTAACGGAGGCCTTCCCGCACAGTCTGAGGGTCAGCTTGTTTCTGGACCTCAATAGGCGTTGAACTACCAGCGTGGGTAGTTCGGCATGTGATCTGTGGATAGCATACCGTGAAAAGTGAGAGCAACCGTTGACCGACAGATCGTTGAAGGCCTAAATGGGCCTCATGTTATGCGTGTCGATATATTGAAACGCTTAACCAGACACTTGACGCGCGCGCCGCAGCTGCGCATCAGAGGTCCCACGTGGGTGACCAGGGTCGAAGGTGGCGTGGTACGCCAGCTCTCTATTGAAGCTAACCCTTATGGTGATGTCTGGAAATACTTAACTCCAAGACAGATATATTGTAGAGGATGTCCTCACGCGCATTTTGACCTTGACCACCGTCGTAACGGGTCATATTTGGACGCTCTTACTAGCCAACAGACGCCGTGTCACCCGCCCAGCGGGCAACCGCGAGTTTGTCAGCTGTGCTGGGCGAGTGCAGTGCAGGCCACCAGGCACGCGCGCCACTATGCATGCAGACGAAAACGCGCTACTTTCCTAACGTGGGGCTACACCCATGCATTCGTCGGCGACATGGGTGATAAAACAGGGGGTGGGGACTGTGACCTCCCTTTTTCAAGGAAGGGGTAGCAATATTAATTGGCCTGGCGACTTTTCATATTCAAGTTACGTTTAACCTACGTTTTAACCACGTTAAACATACATGCCGATTTACCTAATCCATCAGCCATCTTCCTAAAAATGCACCATTTTTTTCATCTGCGTATTGGCCATCGGTTAATATCTGACATCGAGCCAACGTCGCACAACCTGTGGAGACTGCAACGCCGGGCGTTGAGATGGCTGCTCCGAAAATTTGCGAGCGCGTTTGTTCAAAACCATGTTGCATAATTTTTCTCAGAAATCAATTCTGACTGAACGTCTAATATTTTAAGACGAACATGAGTTAGTGATGACAATACAACATGAAACCTCATTTTCATCTGCAAGCTACGTGCAGGGGGCATCAATATCTCTGAAGAACACATAACAAATATGGCAAAGCTTTTGAGCTTTTTCCGTTTAGGAAGAGTCCACTGAACCATCGTGAAATGAAAAGCGCGGGTGATTTATTCCATGCAGTCATTCAGTGCTTGATTTATACAGTTTGTTGTCTTCAAGATGCAAACAGAATTGATGTTGCGGCAACTTGTGGCTCTTATTTCTGTTTTTGTTGCAAAGTAGAAGTGACAATAAAGCGAAGAATACCGTGTCCTTTGTTAACAAGTGAGCTTTATTCGGCGATTTGTCTTTTGGGGTCAGCACCAGGGGGCTTTTGCCAGCCAGGTGTCCCTCCCCATCTGGGCAATGTTCTGGCTACACCCCTGCTTACACATAAAACCAGATTAAGTCGGCTGCGTTAAATGAGAGGCAAATGGATGTCCGTTGGATCATTTCATGCCTAAGGCAGGCAGCTTCCCGGAAGCCTATTTTCTGCTGTGGTGTGATGTAAGGGAAGATAATTCTTGAACAGATGCTTTTGCAGGCGTCCAATATATGCATGACACCAATAAGTGGGAAGTCCAATCCATAAACATGCAGCAAAGCAGTTACACGAACAGTTCGCAGTCGGCCATGCGGGG